CAAAAGGGACAAATTTTCTGCGAATACTTCCACAATTTAATTGCAAAATTCATCCTGTTTTCCAGTTTCTTAACGAATTTGATAGAAATTCTCGTTTTCATCTAAAAATAAAGTGAAGTAGAAATGCCTCTTTGAAAACGAACCTTACGTAAGTTCACGTATTCAGCGCTATACAGTCAACTATAGCGCATTAAAGCTTGAAGGATTATTGGTTGTTCAATTGAGTAAGTAAATAATTCGTGAAAAATATTTGTCCTAAATGTTTAGAGCTAAGCTAATTTACAAATATTAGTGAACATTTTCTTACTTTTGATGTTTTATTGTGGAGGGAAAACAACTTAAATCAGTAAATAAATAAATGATTTGAAATTACTTAACCTATTTGTAATGCCAATTTCTGTTAAGAAGTTAACCTGCCGATAGCGAAATCAGCTTAATCTAACTGTTCATCTTATTTACAATCAAATCTAATTACTCGTTAACAAACTATGAAGAAGGTCAATCAGTTAAGAAAAAGTTGTTAACCTCATAGATTCAAACATAATTTACGATTAGTGACGAAACAACAATGAGGTCACCTAGACAGGAAGTTGTTACCGTGTAAACAACAAATTTTGAGCAAATAGCTTTTTCCTTTATTTATTATACTTTCTCACGGAAAACTACAAATCATTTGTTTGAGTTCTGGACGCATTTTACAATTTAGCGCAAATATTTACCTTCAAAATTTACGTTTCACTATCAGGTAGTATACCGTTCCCATATAATGTGGAATAACAAAAATTTACAATCTCATTTTAACATTGGAATTTTTCAAAACATTAAAAATTCAAATGCTAAAATAAGATTATAAATTAATTGCTGCATTCTGACGATAGTATGACGATACTACGAAAATATCTAATCCTTATGTTTGTCAAAAAATGCTCCAAACTGTTTATCGCTTCTGTAAAATCTGAAATGAAAATTTTTTAGATTTTTTTTTAGAACGCCAAAAGAATTGAATATTTGTTGCAGTTTGGCTCTGCGAATAGAATAATATATAAATGTATTTTATGAATTAAAAAAAATATAAAAAAAGAAACAATAGCAATGTAATCAAAAGTACAATGGAGTATTTGTTTCTCTATTAATATTTTCAAAGTTTATTTGATATATCATTAAAATGTTACTGTCACCAATTTTAACATTTTTTTTTTTTTTTTAAATCACTGAATTATTACGACATCAACAGTATTGACTGTATGTTATATGAAAGAAAAAAATATCACACAATCTAATGAATTTCACGATCACGAATATTTTACAACATATTTCACGTGCATCTTATTAATTAAATAGTTTGAAAAATTAATAAAATATTAGTCGTATCAAATAATCCATTTTAAATAACATAGATCATAAAAGCTATTCACATTCACATGTCTTACTACATATTTAAAGCAAAAATCTTATTTCTAATGAATCTTATTTCTAAAAAATCTTATTTCAAAAAAAAAAAAAAAAAAACTTATTTCCAAAGAAAAATTAATGAAGGATTTTCGTACTTCACCACGTGTTCGTGATTCTCGACAGTGCCACTTCTTGCTATATAGGTTTTTGCTATCAATGCCAATTATTGGCTTCAAATTGATGTGGCTGAGGATATTCTAGGAGAATATTCTAGCTATCTGAGCAGTTTATTCATTTTTCCTGTCATTTCAGCCAGAAAAGGAAGAATAAGTTTGACAAAAATAGATCGAAATAATATTTTAATCGAACAGAAAAATGCAATATCTAATCTAATTGTTATTGGTGTTGAAATTAAGTGAAAAGAGCTAAATTAAATGTAAAACAGAACTTTTTGTAAATATATACTAGCGGTGTAGTAGAGAACATAGTGAAATATCAAATTCATACAATGGCACAAACGCTCAAATAAACCTTTTTATTTCAAATTGATTAAAACGACCAAAGATCAGAAAGTTTTTAATCTGTATGTTTCGCATTATTTCTGATACTTTTCATTTTAAATTCTTACTGTTCTCTCTCTGAAATGATAAATTATAAGCACTGTTTTGAAAAATTTAGGATGACACGAATAATGTAATATTTGCATTCGTGAAAATTGATGAAAATGTTACTGAACTGTGAAATATTTAATCTGTATAGCACTGTATAATCCTTTCTATTATTTGGTAAAATATTGGAATTGAATTGCTCGCATACTATTATAAAAATTTTCAGTCTTTAATTTTAATGATATTGATAATTCTAAGTATATAAGTTTATTTCCGATGTATTTGCCCTTAGACATTAAATACTTGCCCGAAGACTTACACTAGGTCTTATCAATTTACAAATTTAGCAAATTTCAAACACGCATCTCGGCACGAGAGATGGAGCACGTAAAACGCGTCGTGAAATATTTGTGACCGTGAAATTCATTAGGTATTGTGACAATTTTCTTTCATATAATGCAATCAGCACTTAGTAGTTGGCGATGTCCTAATAATGCAATAATTTAAAATGATGTTGACAGTGGTGACAGTAACGTTTCAATGATACATCAACAAAATGGGCTATCATTAAATTTTCATAATTTCAAAAGCTACTTCAATCCTAACTTATCATTAGTAGAAATAATTTAGCATGAAATAAACATATGAAATGAATGAACTTGCATACTTACTGTATCACCGTAACAAAGGATTGCTCTGCTTATCCATTTTGTTCCGATACCTTACAGTCAGCTTTAAACCGAAGATTTTTTTACATATTTTTTAAAATCTTTTTTGAATTTGAAAATTTGATCATTTTCTATATTTTTATACTGCAACACTTTATTCAGCTTAATTTAATTTGAATAATGCAAAAATGAATCTTTTAAATCCTGCTTTTCTTGTTTGCCATATTCCATTAATTATTATTCTCTTCAAATTACCAAATGTTTTTACTTCTATCTTTGATGAATTCCTGTCTCTTCCCGTGCTTAGATAAAATGCAGAATTAGAGACTTTTTCAAAACTTTTCTCACTTCAAGTTGGATTCATCTGATTCTTCTCTTTAGCAATCCAAGGAGGAAAATAGTTCCAAAGAATTGAATATCGAACTAAATTACATTTGCTTTCTGCTATTGCATTTTTTATGAATTAGTATTGCTAAGGAATTGTGAAATATAAATCCTTAAACCCTAGCGGTAAAAGTTAATGGTTTCCTTCTTATCATTATGGACAAATTTATCACTTTCTGATCTCGGAATAAGTTGTTGAGCGCAGTTGTCGATAGTGAAATTAAATGATGAAAAGGTAGTAGAAATAAAGGTTGCTGAAGAAGTAGAATCAACTTTATGAATTGGATACAAGAAGAAGCTAGCTATGTGAACAAAAAAATAAAAAAAAAAACTATATTAAGGAATATCTGATCCATTAGGCTAAAAGATTGAAAATATTTGTGTGTATATTATTCGATATTTTAAACATTATAAATAAAGATGATAAAAATAGAAGAAAATGGAAATTTAATTAAGCTTAAGACAAATAAAGAAAGAAAAGGGATGGGAAATTGGCTAAATGAGGAAGCTTAAATGATTCATCGAAATACAATTGGACTGGAATGATTAGTTTTTACATCAAATTATTTTGTTATTGCAATTTATTTTGAGGTTCGCAACAATTTCTCATAAAAATTGTTTGCGCCAAAAATTTGAAATATAAAATAGTGACAGATAAGTATTACTTGGTTAATAGCAATTATTTTGAGTGAGATTAGTTTTAGTTTGCCTTTTCTTTCTTTTTTTTAAGTGTACAAATCAATCAATTTTACTTTTCAGAAACAAATGATTTGCAACTTAATTTTACAATAAAATTTTGTAAATATTTAAGTAATATTGCATCTAAACATGAGTTAAATAGACAGTCGAGGACTGATAAGCTGATAAAACGTCTATTTTCGATTACGTTCTTCAAATAATAACGTAAATAGGTTAAATTAAAAGTTCCGATACATATCATTTCATGAGGAAAATTTGATTATTTTAAAACGATTTATCAATTAGGGAAAAATAAGATCTGATTGTTGTATGATAAATCAGTGATAATTAGTGAACCGAATTTATGATTTCGATCAGTTGGAGCCACAACTGAATTGCACTTATAACGTTTTTACGGTTATTACGTTTTATAAAGTCAAATTTCTTTTGGTTCCGTAAAAATGAGTACTGCGAGCTGACTTATTAAGAGTTTTTTCTACAAGTTTCTACAAAGTGTTAATATTTCATATTTATTACCTTAAATACTTAATAATATTATTATGTTCTCAATTAGTCCACCGTGTGTTTTTCTTATTAAATTTTCGAAATTGAAAGTAAATGACATTAAAGAAGAAAAGGAATTAAAATTGCAGAGGTATAATCAATGTACAGTTAATTATTTTGTAATTAATTGTTTCAAAAAATCAATAAGAGCGAAAATTTTGAGTTATAAATGCTTTGGCACAGGAATTCTTTCTTTTTTTTTTAATTAAATTTGAAAGGCTTCATGATTGATATAAAGAATTATTTATGAGAATTCATAAATCAAAATCAAGTTAACGCTAAGATTTTAATGTCGTTTCAAGTTTTTTTTTTTTTTTTTTTTTTCAAGACTTTATTATTTTGTATGACAAATAAAATAAAAGCCATTGACATTTAATTAAATTCTAAGAAATGAGCAAATTAATTGGTACAAATTTCTACATCAAAAGTTTTTGTAACACTTTTAATTTCTAATTTTAGGAAATGGATAGACTAAATCAATCAATTTCAAACCAGTTCCCTCTTATTTTAATTAGATTTCTCACTGTCCTTCCTGCCATCCATCCTAATATTTTTTATAAATTTCCTAATTTTTTCCTCATTTTGCTCACAGAATAATATTGTTGTGTGATATTTCCTGCAAGTAAACAAAGCAAAAAAAAAAAAAAAATTAACAAAAATAATTTGTGGGTCGAATTTCTGTGATAGCTAAATCAATGTTTCGTCATTAATTGTTGTTATTGTAATTTCTTTGAACCAATTTCATTGATTGTTTCAATTGCAAACTATCATCATTGATGCCTGAAATTGCAGTCAAATTTGAGCTAATAAAAGAGGAAAATTGTAACTTTTTCTTTGCAACCTACAAAATTATTCAAAAATATTTTCTTAAGCCTACAACAATTATTGATCGTTCTTCAATTCGCTATTATTTTTTCATAATTCGTATTATTGATTATTTTGTCGTCTAAAATTTTATATACATATATATTTTATTTCAGCAATTGTTTACACTTCAATTTCTTCCCTATATTTTACCATTATTTGTATTCCTACCAATAATCAATTCTTATTTATTCAGTTTCCACTTGTGTTAATTACCAAATTTGTGATTAAAATATTGTTACTTAATTAATAGCATTAGCTACAATTCATGTGCACAGTAATTCAGTTTATTAGTAATGCTTGACTTAATCACTTTTTTGAATGGAATACAATAATATTGTAAAATTAATTATCATATTTAAAAAATACTTATAAAATCAGTGGATACAGTTATTGTCTTGATAATTTTTTTGCTTTGAAAATTTAAGATTTACTTTTCCCAAACTTACTTACTTCCAATTCGTCGCATACTATCACCAATTTGTAGGAAACTTGCAGAAAATCGACTAACTTTTCGTTGAGTTAATTGAAATAAACGCGCACGAAAATGCCTGCTCGTTAAGCAGAATAAAATGAAATTGCAAGCTTTATCAATTATTACCAATGTACTGAAACAATGTTTTCAAAATTTGCAATTTTAATTAGCTTCATAAATAATTAAATTTGGGCATTAATTATTATTTTTTTTTTTTTTTTTTGCAATATTATGAATGTTAATTTAACACTTTACATGCGACAATAATGTCACATTAATTGTAATCTAACATGTGCTTGTGAATAATAATAAAAATATTAATGTGTTATTAGTTTTTGTAAAAATATATTTAAAAGCTATGTAAAATAAATTTTTACAGAAAACAGATTTTCAGCAGTTTAATTTTTTTCATTTTTTTTTTCATCTTTTTTCTTCTAGATGGAGGAAAATGAAAATAATTAGCAAAAATAAATTTGTTTTTACCCTTTCTTTTATTAGGATTTTAGAGCAAGAGAGAAAGAAATTTTTTCTTAACGAAATTCAAAAAAAAAAAGACAAACTTTCCAAGAAGTGTAAAATTATAATTTAGTTTCTTTTTACGAGCTAAATTGACCAAATGTATTACAGCTGATGGACCATTTAAGATAATAAATGTTGTAACAATCAATGTAACCATTAATGTGACACGATGTTCCATCTTTAGATACTGTAAACTGCGCTTCTTCTTTGGTAAACTAAAAAGTGAAATTTGTAAATAATTTTGTTAATGTTTTATAATTAACCTTTAAAAAAAAAAAAAAAATCGGTATTTAAATTTGATTAAAGCTAAAACTATTATAACCTACATACTAATAATCTGTATGTCTGGCATGCACATCTTTTATTGACAACTCATTTGACTAATTGACTTTATTTTGCAATTTCAGTTTCAATTACCGAAATTTTATCAAATGCGTCAACAAACTGAATGAATTTTGAACACTAAATATCATCAAAAAATTTCACTACTTTTAAATTTTAAAACTTCAAATTTCTTAAATTCCTTCAACCATAGACAAACACTAATGGATGTTACCGTAATTGTTATTATTGTAATTGAACAAAAAGTAAATAATGAAAATAAATAGTAGTATTTACCGTCGTTGATTGGTAGAAACGAGTAATAAGTCACGACGATTACGCAGTATACAAAGTAATAAAATGTTTAGGAAGGATAATAGAAATATGGGTAGAATGATTGTTGTGACAGCATTTACTGTCACACTGATATCAATGAAATTACGATATGTTGCAGAGTAAGGATTTGTTCGATTCCAGAACCAACGTCTGAATTTAGGACAATTCACTAAATGAATTAATTAAACTGAAAAATTAAAATTCTGCTACCGTTACTTTTACTAATAATCAATGACAAACCCATCATTATTGATCGGAATGCATCTCGAATAGATCTGAGTTCGGTGACAATAATTACGCATAAAGCATTTGTACTGGAAATGCTGATAAAAGTTGACAATTCCAGTGACTGTTACGATTACGACAATTAGCAACGGTGTGCGGTATTTATTGCAATCAGTTTTAGCATGCAATGGTCTTCTAATACCAATTAAGCGATCCGCGCATACAGCTACTACTAACCTGAAAATTGAGGTAAGTTAAGTTTACAATTTCAAATGTTTCTAATTTGGAAGCAAAGATTCACTGATTGCAAACTGTCTGGCAAATCAGAAAAATGAAATAACAAACCAAATGGCAGCACTGGAAACCCAATTAGTTAAAGATAATAAGTGAATTTTAATATGAAAATAGATGTAACGATAAATATAATTGGACGTAAACATTGGATAAGTGGCCAAAATATTGGGTAGAAGAAGTAACAGAAATATAATATCAGCTAGTGCTAAGGCCGACAAAAAGATATTTGATCTGAAATAATATCAGAGAATATTTGGTAAAATTTCAAATTAGATTTCCAACTTTCACATTTGAGTAGAAAAAAAAATTTCTATTTGCTATCACAAATACTCGTTTTAATTTTGAATCCTAACTTCTGATTTATTTATATTCACATGTATGCCTAATTAATCAAAAATTGCTATCATAGAAATAATATTTTGCAAATTGTTGATAATAGAAGAGCATGTATGACCTGCTCCGCATAGAACGATTAAGTAGAACAGTAAGATTTAGTACATTTCCGGTAATGCCAAGTATTACGATACACGGATACAGGAATCGTTGCAGATATTTTTCCAATTCATTTCCGTGTAATCGCATTTGTTGATTTGTTAAACAAATATTTGTCGCATTGTTTGACATATCTAAAAGTCAGAAAAAAGAATGAAAATATAAAACAAAGAATTATTTATCAAAAGACAAAGAAACGAATGATAAAAGCTCATTTCTTTCTGCTAATTTTAAATATTTAAAAAATATTTCTCTTCACAATATTAAATAAATAGCAATCAATAGCTAACTTTATGGATGGATATTATTTTCATTTGAATTAAACCATCAATTTTGGAATAAGCTTATGCTTTCCCAAAAAGAAACCAAAAAATGGCATTCAAGTAGGAATCGGAAAAAGGAAAAAATTATCGAAAAAAAAAAGTTGAATTCAAATTAAATCTATATTAACTAATTTTAACATAAGAATTGAGTAAACGAAAAATATAATACAAAATTTATTTCACTTAGAATACAATCTGATTCTTTTCTTCATTTTCGTAGAAAAACTTTCCGAAATTTTCATTTGTCTTTCAAATTGTCATAAAACCAAACGTTTCTTAAGGAAAAATTTACTGCTAATTAAGCCAAATTCATCGCATTATGTTTCAATTAATTTAATGGTTTTGTTTTTTTTTTTTTTTTTTTTTTTGGTATTTCATCTGCTTTTGTTGACAAAAACAATTTACTTCAACATTTATCTAAATAAAAAAGTTTATAGAAAATGGATCACTCATATCTTTGGAACAAATTCAAAAGCTTAATTAAATATTATTATATTAATAGTGGATGACAGTTCTATTAATAAATCAAATTTTTTTGCAATATTTTTTTTATTTAATTTAGAGCTTTTTAAAGCAAATTTAATTATGTCATAATGAGCAAAAAATAGATATATTATTTATTGCTTATGGAATTTAACAAAAAAATTTTTTTTTCTTGAAATAATTCTTTGAAATTATTTCACTAAATTTTATTTTTTAATTCCTTTCAAATACAATAGCTACTGCTAGAAAACACACTTTATTTTGAAAGAAGTTTGAGTAAGCTGAAAAAACAATTTAAAAATAAGTGAAATCTATACGAACAGACAATTTAATAATATGTTGTCTTCTAAATTATTTGTTAAGATTCTAATCGTAGAAACAAAATGGATAAAACAAAAACTTTCTCAGTGAAAAAATTTGCAGAAAAGATAAAAATCAGAAATGGATAACAATTGTTTATCGCATTGATAATGGTATGATTACTCAATCGTATTTGTATTATCAAAGATGGAAAATAAACAGAGAATGCAACAAAATTCATATTTATAAGAAAATGTATTTGCATTAATTTTATGTATACAATTCCATGATTTTATAAAAATTCAAAAAAAAAAAGGGAAATGAAAATGGAAAAAAAAAATTTTTAGATAAATTTTTTCCAGTTCTTAAATTCTTACTTATTATACTTTTACATTTTGCATTTTAAAGTTGGATGAAAGTAAAACATTCAGTGAAAAATGTCAAACTTTTTTTGAAACGAATGAAAAAGATTATTGTGACGGAATGTTTTCTTTAAAAAATCGCTATTTTCAATTTCTCATTGTTACAATTGAATCATTAAAATTAATTCTACTACTTTCTGTTTAATTCTACAATTGAATGTTAAATAGTTTTTTGCAATAACAATCGAAACATTTCAATTAATTTACCTTATTCGTTTCATTAGCAAATGGTATAACAGTTGTTAGTATCGGATAAGGTAGCACACAAATGCAAATATCTCTGGGAATTATCATAAACATATCTCAAAGATTAATCCTATCTTAGCTTTAAATCTTTGTGAAATCATTTCACTCATTTAGAATAATCCAAAATTTCAAATTTAACAAAAGCCAATTCAAAATTAATCAAATCAAGAAGAAAAAAAGCTAATTTAAACTCAAAGTCATCCATTTTTCTCTTCCATAGATCCTTTCTTTTTTTCTTTTTCATTTTTTTGAAGAACTAAATTGCATTTAAAACGATTGACATCAAATAATGTGTTAATAGTTCATCAAGCTTAATGATATTTCCGGAAAATAAACAAGCAAAGAAATAGAAGAGCGAGAGAGAGAGAGAGAGAGAGATAAAAAAAAAAGAAATGACTGAAAAAAAAAAACTTTTTTAATGTCTTTTCTCTTGCTGGCAAGTATTTTTGTCATTTTTCGCTAACTTAAAAAGTAGCTTGAAGAAATATTTGTACATAATTAGATTTCTTTTAATATATTCCATTTCATATGAGTAAATTAAAAATTTTTGCACAAATATTCAAAACTATTAATTAAATTGCCAATCAATTATATGAAGTTATTAATGTCAAATATATTAAATATGTGAAAAACGTTGATTAACTATGTCAGATGTATCACAGCAAATACAATTTTCAATTTGTTTCCGAAAAGTTTGCAATGTAATTAATCTTCGAACTGTTATAGTGAAATGGAAATTATAAATTGTAAGTAAATGTATGAGATGCTGTGCACTTGCAAATTTTCAACTTTCACTAATTAATATTATTCAGTTATTGAGCTAACCGAAAAAATTTAGAGAGAAAACGAATGATTTGAATATTGCATTTCTCAAGGACTAAGGAAATTAATTCTTAAAATTATTCAAATAATAATTTCCTTTTGTTCAATGCATCATTACAAACAAATTACTTCAAACTTTTAACTTTCAATTTCAATTCTTTCCTTTCAAACTATTCCATTTTCTCGTCGCATATCTTTTTTAATTAGTAATAGTTACTCGCATGCAGCGATCTCTTTTTTCTTCAATGAAAGGGAGAAAAAAAAAATAAATCTTCCAGATGGGACTTTAATGAGGGGAAAAAGGATGTGAAATCGATATTTTCGGTATATCAGGAAAAACGGAAACATTCCTATTCCTTCCGTCTGTTTTATTGTGCTGAAGCAATGTTCAGTTTATTTTATTTTTTGAAAAACTTTTAGCCATAAAATTTTGCCCATTTTGCCACAATTTCCTTTCATTCCTATTGGCTTAGTTTAATGTTAAAGAAAAGGAAGAAGCGGAAATTTCCTAGAAGAATAATTAATTAATTTTACGAAGACAAAAAGACTTTGTTTATTCAAAATAAAAGAAAAATTGGCGAAAAAGCAATGAATATAATTTCAATTCAAAATTATTAAAGTTTATATTTACTGAGTTTTTTGTTTTTAAATTTTTTAAATCTTTCAATGAATTTGATACTAACTTTCTTAAAAGACTTTTAATTCAGCTAATCCAATGCCACGAAATTTTTATGTAATCAAAATGGTAACAATATGAATTTCTTCAAAAGTATTACCATATTCTTTCAGGAAATCTCGTTACATGCACTTTTTGTTAGTTATTGAGTTTTTAATTTAAGTTATATTATATTTAACAAATTCCTCATATAAATGCTTTTCAGATTTTCTTCTTTTTTTGTTATTTGTTATGCTCGTTTTATGTCACAAAATTTCACTTTTATTTAATCTCTATTTTTTTTTTTAAATAGTACTTAAATTTTTTTTTTTTGACCATGAATGAGTCACAAATCTTGGCTACCATTGGGTCCTAATTTTGCACGAAAACTTCGTTTAATGAATTTTGTCTGATTAAATGATCCTAAATGATTTCTTTTGTCAAATGAAAAAATGAATATTTGTTTGGCTAAATTGGGCTGAAATAACAAATAAATTGGGACTAACGATTAAACGAAATTTGCAAACAAAGCGTATAAATTTCATCTTATCGTTTAAAATAAATTGTAAGTCTTTTGATAAAGCAGTAACTTTTGAAAATTAAGCAATGTGAGCATGAAAAATTCTTTTGAAAAAAATTTTCACATAGAAGTTTTTTTTATAGCTCTGTGAATGATATAACTGATAATTTGTAGAAAACATATTTGCACATTAAAATTTTTGAAACTTTAAATTTAAAACAAATTAAACTTGAATTATCATATGAGAAATATATAAAACAAGTCAATATTATTAGTATCATCAATGAATTCAAGTTAATTATTAGTGCCATAAAGAATTGAAATATTTTTATTATTAAGTGATAATATTATCTCACCTATATTATATAATTATTTTTTTTTCCCAATTTCTGTATTACCTTCTGAAATTCTTCCAACAAACTAGTATAAATATATCGCATGAAATAAAAATATCACTGTGCCAGTGAAACATGATAGAATTCTATAAGTATTAGTGTAGCTCGATAATTACTGAATGTTCATCCAGATACAAATATCCGGAAAATCAAACCGTAGCGTACATATCAGGGAAATACCGTCCGTATCTTTGTGATTATGAATGATACGATTCGTTCGATCTTGCATAATGTTTATTCCACTTCGGTGATAATTGCATAAATAAGGTCTAAAAGGAACACTATTTTGCATTACTGACATGTTAGCAACAGTGTTCTGATGAATCAGGAATGAATGGAAAGTGGAAAAACTCAAATTAAATAATTTGAATAATGGACTGATGATTTTTCAGGACTTCATTTCTTTTTCTAAAATTCAATATTCGATTAACTGTCCGACTTTTTGACTCATATTTTGAACTTCTTTACTCTTGAAGATTTGCAGATTTGCAATACTGTCAACAAAGAGTTTCAAATGATTGAAATTTATTATATTACATTCTTAAAATCTTATCTTGTTAAGTATTGAAATTCAAAATTAAAAATGTAGCACACGCAAAAAATAAGTAGATTACAAAAAGAATTCGGAACAGAGTTTTGGATGATTAAATTTTGCTTACAACACTTCAGGATAATTAAGAGATCAACCTAACGATCTCAAAATAAAATCGATAACTACATTAACACAATATAAATGAAGTAAATGAAGCAATGAAGATCAATAAACGACAGCAATTTTATCGTTCTGCCGCTGGCATTCAAAGTATGTTGTTAAGAATGCTAACATATTTTTCGCTTAGTGTCATTGTTACTCGTTTCATTTATTTCAGCTAATTAGTAATGACAATAATGACATTAATGACAGTTGTAGCAGTAAATTATGACGTGTTATAAAACAGTATTGTGTAAAAGTTTTAAGATTTCTTC